GCGGCTTCGGACGCCCAGAGGACCGCCGTCCTGGAGCGTCGGGAAGCCGAAAAGAGGAGAACCCCAAAATTCAACAAAAACCAACAGAACATCAATGATTTTTGCTTCTTGGGGCCTTCTTGGGAGTGCTCTTGGAGGCCTCTTTGGGGCCGTCCTGGAGGCCTCTTGGGCCATCTGGAGGTCACGTCGGTCACTCTTGGAGCGCTATTGTGCTGTCTTGGGGGTCTCTGGGATGTCTCCGATGACCCCCCTGATCGCCTTAGGTGTGCTGGGAAGGCTTGGCAAAACGCCCTGCGAGGCCTGGGGGGGCGCTTCGAGGCCCGTCCAGAGGGTCCCAAACGGGAGTCCGGTGTTGAGGGGGGGGGCCCTTTCGCGTTCCGCCGGGATTGTAAAAATAAAAAAGGGAATATGCATGTATATATATATATATATATATATATATGTGTGGGGCAGGCGGGGGGTGAGCGATAGCTCATCGAATTAAGGAGAAATGTCTGTCCCTCTTCAGTCGGCCAAAGCTGTTGACAGAGCTTAAACTCCCATGGGCACTATATCTATATTTGCAGAGGCCTCTGCACGGAGCTCGAAAGGTCTACTCTCTTTTGCACGGACCGACCCCCCACGCCAGAGCACAGACCGCACCCCGAGGCCAGAGCTGGATTCGCAGACCACCATCCGCAGACTGGGGTCGGCCACCATCACGGGAGACTGGGGCCAGAACGCTCCACGGCCTCGGGGGCCAGGGGAGGCTCGACGGCCTTGGGGGGGCCCAGCAAAGAGAACCCCCTGAGAGCCCAGCAGGACCGTGCCCAAGAAGCTCGAGCTCTCGCGAGACTCAACGCATTCGCCACTTAGGGCGGTATGTGGGTGGGCCAGAACAGCTGCCATGCAAGCGAATGCGGCCGGTGTGACACGCAACCCCCCTGACGCCCACACATCGACCGAAAACGTATACATGTGTGGGGCAGGCGGGGGGTGAGCGATAGCTCATCGAATTAAGGAGAAATGTCTTTCCCTCTTCAATCGGCCAAAGCTGTTGACAGAGCTTAAACTCCCATGGGCACTATATTTATATTTACAGAGGCCTCTGCACGGAGCTCGAAAGGTCTACTCTCTTTTGCACGGACCGACCCCCCACGCCAGAGCACAGACCGCACCCCGAGGCCAGAGCTGGATTCGCAGACCACCATCCGCAGACTGGGGTCGGCCACCATCACGGGAGACTGGGGCCAGAACGCTCCACGGCCTCGGGGGCCAGGGGAGGCTCGACGGCCCTGGGGGGGCCCAGCAAAGAGAACCCCCTGAGAGCCCAGCAGGACCGTGCCCAATAAGCTCGCCAACTCTCGAAAAAGACACCGAGCTCTCCATTATGTGTTTTTCCTCTGGCCGCAGGCCGAAGATATGTCAAGCCTGGCGACGGCAGCGCGGGCAGCAGCTCGCACCAGACATCCAAAAATTATCGCAGCAGGTCACGGGCTGCAAAACGCTCGGACTCGAGCGAAAAGTGCATAGGAGAACTGCTGGAGCGTCGAACGGGTACGATCCTGGAGCTTCATCTCTGCGATGATGGCAGCCCCGTATTGGATGTATATCTTTGCCGTTCTTGCCGAGCCCCAGCGCCCGCGCAGCATGACCTTAGACAAGTCACCCGACAGCAGGAACTCATGCGCGGCACCTCCGCGCCTCAGGCTGTAAGGAGACAGGGCGAGGTGCCTGCAACCGATCTGCTGGAGCCCAGTACGGAACAAGTCGTGAAAGGCGCGCGTCGTGCCGGGCCAGGGCCGGCTGTCACGCTGGAGCTGCATATGGACGACTGCCCCAACCAACGGGTCGTCAAGCGTGACTTGCTCCCGCGCGCCCTTCTGGCAAGAGGTCTTGGCCCAGGGCAACGACGCCACGCCTCTGCCACAGGGCTTCAGAAAGATGACGCCGCCGCTCAGCCCCAAAGCCTCGCCAGTGCGGAGACAGAGATGGAAGGCCACGAGCAGCACGGCCGCGAAGGCCACCTCTCCGCGGCTGAGCGCCCAACCGGCGAGCGCCGTGCACACCTGGGCAGGCGTCGGCGGCGCGCGCTGAGAGGTCTCCAGTCTGCCTCAGACTGTCAGCAGCTGCCACGCGCCAGGATAGCGGCGTCGTGTCCTCAGCAGGTGCTGCACGCCGCTGAGGGTGTCATTGGCTTCTCCTTTTGTGGCGCTCTCGGCCCACAAGTGCTCAAGATAATCGTGCAGGCAGATATCAATATCGTCCCAGGCGAAAGGCAGCGGCAGGTTACTGGCAGCGAGGTAGTCAACAAAACGCTGAGCGGCGCCACGGTAGCGGGCCAGTTTCGAGGTCTTTATCCTGGCGTCTCTCAGCTTCCCCAGTCCAGCTCTGGCGTCGCGGCGGTCAGCAGGGCTACTCCGCTTCTTACCCATCGCGGAGACGCGAGGGGGCGTCCGCGGGGTTGCGAGCCGACGACGTGAAGCCGAAGACCGCCCGCGCGCCCATCGCAAGCTCCCACGCCGAGAAGGTCCGCACCACCTTGTTGAACTGAGGACTGCTGGAACGGTGCTTGGACAGCGCACCTATGTTGACCATGCTGTCGAGCAGGTGCAGGAAGACGCACTGATGGCGGCGCACCGACCGCGCCCGCCATCGAATCATCATCAGAGCGCCCTGGCACTCAAGAACGTTGATGTGCTCTGCTGCATCCCACACTAGCCGCCTTGCCCTGCGCCACCGCCAGATGCCTGAGTCGATCTCCTGCCGCGGGAAGATCTTGCCGAGCGCCTCCGAGGCGCCATCGGTCCTGATGTCTGCTCCGTTGTTGTGGCACGCCATGACGAGCCTCATGACGATGCGTCTGGACGCGTCCACCTCGCGCCACTCCACCACGTCACGCTTCGCCAACTCCGCCAAGAGGATGTCGGCATGGCACGCCTGGTCGGGCCCACAGTGACACACCAGTAGGGCCCCGCGCAGCGTCTCCAAGCTCTGCAGGAAGGTGGGCTGCGTGCGGATCCAACCAGCGAACAGGGCAACAGCGTCCTCGCGTGACCGCTCGGGGCTGATCGTGAAAGGGTTGCCCCACCGCGAGGCAGCCAGCCCCCAGCGGCGAGACCCACGACCCACATAGATGGGCCCGCCAGCCTGGTCCAGCTTGGCGCGCAGGCCCTCGTCGATCTCGGAGCGACCGCACCGCAGCGACATCACGTCGCCGGCCCACAGCTTCCTGCCGCCAGCCCAGGCTCGCACACTCTCATGCAGCTCACCCAGCGAGGGCACCGAGACCAGCAGCCCAGCTCCGACGGCCCAGTGGCTGATGATCCAGGCCACGACCTCGCACTTGAAGGAGTTGCCCACGAGCGACCGCCGAAGAGCCTCGTACTTGGCGGGCTCGGCCTTCGCCTGGCTGCTCGTCATGCACGGCGCGGTGTGGCCCTCCGGGAAGCCCATCAGCTTCTCTCGCATGGTCGCGTCAGGCGGCTCCACGCGGCCATCCGCCTGGTGGATGCACCACTTGTCACGGAACTGGTAGGGCGGCGAAGCGAAGCCCGCCGCCTCCCAGCGCGCCAGCTCAGCAGCGCTGCACTCCCCGATGCCCGCAGGCCTGGGGCGCGGCTGCGAGCGCGGCGTCCAGCGCACGAAGGTCGGGAGCGGCTCCCCTGCAGCGGGACCCGGACACACAGCCCCGGGCGGGAGCCACTCCTCGAGCGGCGGCCGCTCTGCCTTCAGCGCCACCTTGCAGGCGCGCCGAACGTCCTGGGTCTTGGCCCGTACCACGACGGGCTCAGCCTCGAAGGACGGCAGGAGGCCCCACGAAGCCCAGTAGAGCCGCGGACGTCTGACCCAGCCGACATCCCCCGCCTCAATCTCCAGCGGGATGCGGCCGAAGAGCTGGTTCAGGCGCAGCACGTCGCACTCGGGCATCGACGCGACGTTCTCCCCGAGGAAGTCGATCGACGCCTCCGGCATGGCCGTCCGCAGCCCGTCCACGATCCGCACCATGTGGTCAACCAGGCCCGCGCGCGGGTCGTCGAGACCCTGCCGAGCAACGTTGAGGCCCGCGAAGACCTGGCACGGGAAGCCGCCCACCACCAGCACACGCGACACCCGGCCTCGGGCGCGCAGCAGGGCTGCCAGGGCCGCCGGGTCGGCCTCCGTCACGTCCCCCAGGTGCTGCGTGCTGGGGTAGCTGCGCCGGGCCACCCGCACCGCCGTGGGGTCAACCTCGAAGGACAGGTGCACGGCAGGGACCAGTCCGAGGATCTCGAAAGCCCGGCGCCCGCCGCCGATGCCGTCGAAGACAGTCACGAGGGCGGTCTCCTCCTCGCAGGCGGCGTTCGCGGGCCGCTGCCGCCTCTCGGCCAGCGCGCGCCCGCGGTCGGAGAGGGCGTAGCCGTAGACCACGGCGCCAGCGGCCTCCGAGGCATCCGACGCGGTCACCAGGGGGTCGACTTCGAGGCGCAGGTCAGCGACGCAAGGCCCTGACAGCGCAAGGCACATCAAGAGGTCCTCGACCACGCTCACGCTGAAGCGGCCGCCAGTGCGCGGGTTCCCGAGCCACTTCCAGGAGTAGGCAAAGCTGGCCGCCAGTGGCCGCCGAAAGCAGTGAACACGAACCCAGCGGCCCAGCAGAATGCGCACCAGCCGCATGCTGGCCCGCTTCTTGCTCAGCGTCCACAGCGTGAGGCTGGCCATCTCGGTAAGGTAACCCGCAGGGGGCCGCCGAACGCCCTCGACCCCGTCGATGAGCTCCCCCAAGGTCGTCGCTCGCGGCACTCGATGGATGTCCTTGGCCGGCGACCCCGGGGAGCCCGCAGCCGCATAGCAGGCGCGAGCCTCGGAGATGAGCTCGGGCACCGTCCCTCGCAGCGTCGTGGCCTCGGACTTGCTCACGACCTCCGCGACCTCCAGGTTGTCAATGTAGACCATCCACGCCGGAGGGCACGGCTTCTCCACGCTGAACGGCAGCCGTCGGCGCCGAGTAATCTCCTGGCTGGGCGGCAGGCCGCGAGGGACAGAGGCGCTCCGCCGCAGCATGTCCCGGTGGAGGTGGGTCGTCGCGCCCACGGCACTGATCCAGCCCATGCCGATCACCCGCAGGCAGATGTGCGTGGTCCCACCGCCCTTCAGGCCAAGCAACTCCGAGGGGACGGGCGGCCCTATCACCATGTAAGGCCACCACACAGGCGGCGCGCGGAAGACGTAGAAGAAGGCCTTTCTGTCCGCGCCGCTCCACAGGAGATCCTCCGACTCGGTCAGCACCAGGCCGTTCAGCTGGCTCGCGGTCGGCATCTCAGGGGTGTCTCCCACGATGCACTCCTGGCACGCGCTCGAGGGGGTGAGGTTGGTGATCAGCCTCAGGACCGGCCTGCGCTCGCCGTCGCTGCAGACCACGGGCTCGTCGCGGGGCTTGGGCACCCCGAGCGCCCCGTTCAGGAGCGGGGCTCCGTCGCGACAGGCAATCTCGCTGCTCGGGATCGCCGACACCATCCCGCGCTCGTGGAGCGCCCGCACAATCCGATGCCACTCCTCGAGCGAGGCCCACGCGCGCGCAGATGTCGGCGCGGGCCGCCGCAGGGCAGCGGGCAGCAGCGCCAGCGTCGGGTCCAGGAGGGCCTCTCGCACGAACCCCGTCGCGAGGTCGGCCGCCTCGATGGAGGCCGCGACGCCCGGCGGAGGCAGCCCGTCCAGCACCTGCCCCAGCGTCAGCCGATGCGGGGCCGAGATCTCGTCCCCGCCGTAGCCGATCTTGCGGTCCTTCAGCCGCGCGTTCCAGTCAAGATCTGGCGGCAAAGCAGACTCGGCCCGCGTAGCCAAGAGGAGGCGGCGGCCGAGAGCGACCAGGGCTGCCTGCTGCGCGGCGCTGGCTCGACCTCGGCAGGGCCTGGCCAGCTTCAGGGAGCAGAACCCAGACTCCCAGTTTAGCGCCAGGACAGTGACCACCAGCCTGCAGTGTAGTCCTTCCCACTCCTTGTCGCTCAAAGGGTCCTCGCCCTGCTGGGCGATCTGGGACCTGGTGATCGAAGGGTATGGTAACGGCAACAGATCTCGCTGAAGCCGACCTCCCATGTCGGCCGGATGCTCGCGTGGCTTTACTTCGAGGGAATATCTAGTGAAGCGACCGAAGGAGCCTGGGAACTGGCGGACTATGTTCAACAACACGGGGCCCACGTCGAAAGGTTCTCGCAGAAGATCACTCGCCGCGCCAGCCCACTCGCGCCACTCTGCCAGAGGATCACCGTCACAGTCGGCATCCGTACCACAGGCCGGCTGGCACGACGAGGACGCTGGGCGGCGAGAGGCGGCAGCACTACCACGGTCAGGAGCCAATCTCGGAGGCGGCGAGCGCGACGGTGAAGTCCAGGGCGGTCTGCGCGAGCGGGCAACCACACCAAACTCGGTCGCACTCGCACGCGCATCATCAGCGCTGGCACCATGAGCTCCCTGCCTCACCTCAGCGTCGCAGGAAGGCCGCCTCGGCCTCGGCCCCGGTGCTTCCTGCCGCCACGGCGGCGGCCGCTCGGGGGGGCCGGGCCTCGCGGCGGACCTTGCTGCAGGCCCGCTGCCGCCGCAGCCGCGGGCTGGTCCTGCCTGAAGACGTGGCGCTCCGGGCTCGTCGCCAGCGAGACGCGCCTCGGCCCGTCCGCCGCCCTCGGGTTCGGGCTGTCGCCTCGAGGCGTCCTCAGCGCCCCCGGAGACGGCGACCTGCCCGCGCTGCCTGAGCGCGCTGCGCCTGGCGGACCCGCGGGCGGGGCTGCGGCTGCGGGCCCTGCCCAAGGCCGTGCTGGGCCCCCCGCCCGCAGGGGGAAGAAGCGGCCTCGGCCGCGCCCGCGGCTCTTCCCGCGACCGCGGCCCTGCTGGCGGCTCGGCGAGGGCGAGTGGGCTCCGCCGCTCCCGCGCCTCGCCTCCTCGGGTCAGGCTTGGCGCTCGCCCTGACCCTTGCCGCCGAGGGCGCCGCGGCTCTTCGCGTCCATCAGCCTCCTGCGCAGCAGTGCCGCCCGCCGCGCCAGGTCCTGCTCGCCCATCGAGGCCAGCGAGGGCCGCGCGTCCGGCACGATCTCCAGCTCGCTCGCCACCTGGCAGCTCGCGTCGGACAGCGACAGCTCCAGAGCCTTGAAGCGCTGCATCAACACGTCGCTCAACTCCGCCAGGCACCCACACTCCAGCAGGTCCAGCGCGGTCGCCAGCGTCTGCAGCTCCCGCTGAGTGTTGATCCGCATCTGCCCTGGAGGGTGATGGCCGAACACCACGGCCTGCAGGTAGCCCACGACGCCCACGACCTTCGCTCGAACCTCTGAGCCGTCCGCCCCCCCCCGCAGGCCCATGACGCGCCCGATGTTCTTCATCGCCTCGTCGTGCAGGGCACCTGGGCGCTTCTCCGCCAGCAGCCGTACGCTGCCGCCGCGGGAGGGGGCCTCGCGAAAACGCGACTCACCGTCGTCGTCGCTGCGCGAGGCCGAAGAGCTCCGGGGGCGGCGGCGGCCGCGACCGCCACCAGCGCGGCTAGGCGTCGCCGTAGCGGCCTGCGCGCGCGCCGCGGCAGCTGCCGCCAGGCGGTCGGGGGCCGCGCCCCCGGCTGGGGCGCCCCCCGCCAAGGCACCGCCACCGCCGCGCCCACCGAAGGCGCTCGGCCGCACCCACGGCTCCACGAACCCGCGGTTCGAGCGCAGCCGCAGCCACTCGACATGCAGGACTCCTCGGCCTGGCACAGCGGGCTCCCCGCACAGCGCCGGTCCCTGCCCGCGCAAGTGCAGGAGGCCCGCAGGCCCGGTGCCGCGCGGTGGGAACAGGCCGTCCAGCCGCATCGCCTCGGCCGCCAGCGACGCCCCCCTGAACTGGGCGCTCAGGTACTGCCCTGAGGGGCCCGTGGTGCCGATCTCCTCTACCTCGAAGAGGGCCGTCCCGCTGATGCCTCCAGCTGCGTCGAAGGTCGGGAGCTCGAGATTCACCCCTCGGCGCCAGTCGGCGCCAATCAGAGTCACGGCCTGACGCCACGGACCGTCCACGAGTGGTCCCAGCTGCGCGCCGCCCGCTGGGGCGATGGGACCGCCAGCCACCGCGATCGGCACACCAGAGATCGCCGGGGCCCCCGGCACCGCACCAGGAGGAGGGCCTCCAGGAGGGCCGCCGCCGCCGCCCGCGAGCGCGCCCACCAGCGCGGCGCCCACGCCGCCGGGGGGAGCACCTCCGCCGTCAGGCACGGCGCCGCCCGCCGGGGGCGCCCCAGCAACCCCGCCGCCTCCGAAGCCTGGCAGGCCGGGCAGCGCCGCCAGGCCAGGCACCACGGGCGCGCCGGCACCGCCGCCCGCGGGCGCGGCCGCCGCGGCGCCCCCGACCGCCGCGGCCGCCGCCAGGCCCGGGGCAACAGGCGGGAGGCGGCGGCACCTCCGCCTCTCCCCGCGGCTCCTCGCCCGAGGCCGCCGGCGCCGCGCCCTCGGCCGCGGGCGCGTCCTCGGCCCAAGGCCTTCGCCTTAGCCTTAGCCTTGGCTTTGCCCTTGGCGACGGCCTTCGCCTTCGGCGCCATCGAGCCCCAGGCCGGCGAGCGCGGAGAGCAGCGCGCCCAGGAGCCGGGCGGAGTCGAGCAGCGCCGCCCTCTCCTCCACGCTGAGGCGGGCGCGCCACGCCGCCTGCCGAATCAGACCGATGATGTAGCACAGCTCGCAGACCTCCAGGAGGGACCCGCCCTCGGCCAGGGCCGGCGACTCCCCTCGCCCGAGGGGTCCCGCGCACCACCCGCAGTATCGCACGGGCGAAGGGCGCGGCACGGTGGTCCCGGGGGCGTCCATGCCCTCCCTGGAGGGCGCAGAACCAGCCAGAACAGCTGCCATGCAAGCGAATGCGGCCGATGTGACACGCAACCCCCTCTGATGCCCACACATCTACTGTAAACGTATATATATATATATAAATAAATATATACAAGACTGCAGTGGCGCTTCGCGCCATGCACCTTGGTCCTTGAAGTGTGGTGTGCAGACGGAAATGGCGGGAAGGCCAAGCCGACAATTTAGCGATAACTCCTTGCTGCCTTTTCTGGCATCGCCGTGATAAGAATGTTGTTCGTTGTCCTTCCTCCATGCTTATTGTTCCTCATTCTCGCAATACCCTGGAATTCTCCCCATCCTCCTCAGCTCTTTTTGCGGAGGCTCCTCCTTGGAGAGCCTCTGGGTGCCTCACTAAAGTTCTCAGGCTTTCTTAAGACCCTCTGGAGGCCTCCTGGGTGTGTTCTGGGGGCCTCTGGGGCTTCCTAAGGCCAACCTGCCTCTAACTACGGTCTCCCTGAACGCCCCAGTCATTATTTGGAATGCTTCGGAGAGGGTGTCTTGGGGCCATCTTGGGCCGCTATGGTGCTCTCTTAGGGCCATTTTGGACCCCTCTTGTGCCGTTTTGGGGCTCTTGGACTGCCTGGAAGCCCTTTCGGATGGTTGTGGGGCGATTTTAAAGCCTCCCAGGCGGCTTCGGACGCCTAGGAGACCGCCGTCTTGGAGCGTCGGGAAGCCGAAAAGAGGAGAACCCCAAATGCACCAAAAACCCACATAGAATCAATGATTTTTCCCTCTTGGGGCCTTCTTGGGGGTGCTCTTGGAGGCCTCTTGGTACGTTTTGGAGCGATCTTTCGGGGTATGACGGCTTCTTGGAGCGCTCTTGTGCTGTCTTGGGGGTCTCTGGGACGTCTCCGGTGACCCCCCTGATCGCCCTGGGTGTGCTGCGAAGGCTTGGCAAAACGCCCTGCGAGGCCCAGGGGGCCGCTTCGAGGCCCGTCCGGAGGGTCCCAAAGCTGCAGATCCCGGGGGTCCCGTCCCGGGGGGGGGGGGACGGGTTTTCCCCCCGCCCGGTCTTATAAAAATATAGGAAGAGGGATATGTGCAACGCAACTCCACCGCGTGCAACGCAGGGCGAGACGCCTACGCCAGCGGCCGCGCGGTGGGTGGGGTGGGGGGCCTGGGCGCCGTGCGGGATCTGCGGCAGCGGCGCGAAGTGGGCGGACGCCGCTGGGGGAGGCACGTAGGAGCGCCTCTGGAGGAGCCCGTCCGCCCCGGACCCTCCCGCACCGCCCTTCTGCTCATCCTGCTGCTCCTCTGTCCCTCTCCTGCTTCCCCCTCCTTCCACTCCAACGCTCCTGGTCTGCATGTGCCCCTTCCTCCCTCTTCCCCCTCCCTGCTGCTCCTCCATCCTCATCCTCCTCGTGCTCTGTCCTCGTCGACCTCTATCCATGCCCCTCCCCTCCTCCTCCTCCTCCTCCTCCTCCTCCTCCTCTGTCCTCTGTCCTCTGTCCTCTGTCCTCTGTCCTCTGTCCTCCTCCTCCTCCTCCTCCTCCTCCTCCTCCTCACTCCTCCTCCATCCCCTCGTCCTGTCCTCGATCCTCCCTCCTCCTCATTCTGCCCCATCCGTGCCCCTCCCGCCTCCGCGGTGCGCCTTCCTCCCCCCTTTTCCCTCCCGGCCTCCCTCCTCCCCCTTCCCACATCCGTCCCCGCCCACTCCTACCTCCCCTCTCCCTGATGCCCCCTCATCCCTCCTCCCTGATCCCTCCCCCTCCTCCTGCTCCGCCCTGCGGCCGCTCTTAGCGCTCCTCCTCCCCCAGCATCCGCGCCCCGTGGGGGGTCCGCCAAAGCACACGTACTGCGTCTGGCCTCTCGGGGCCGGGTGCAGCTCCGGCCGATCAGGAATCTCACACCACACGTCGGTCGGAAGAAGTGGGTAGTTAGAAACATGAAGTATGAAGGCGTTGGAAGTAGATTGGGCTTCCGCGCCCGCCCCTTGAAGAGGAAGGAGAAGGTGAAAACACGCGATCACTGAAGTAGGAAGGCGCCTAAAGCAGATTAGGAATTGGGCGTCCAACAATACTCCTACTTTCAACGACCGGCGTGTAACTACTTGGTAACACGCTCGTCCAAGATAAGCAAAACGTGTCGTCAGTGAGGTGGCAGTTGACAGGATGCGACCGGAGTCCGCCAGGAGGTTCCCGAGCGACGCTCGTGACCACAGAAGTGGGGGCAACCCGAACTTCCTGGAGCCATGCCAAATGAACTGTTCGTTGCGCCACTGGTTCCCATCTAGCTGGCTCGAACACCATGCACTCTTGCAGGCTCCGATTCGGCCCCGGGGCTCCACTCGCTGCAGATCTGTCCCGAAACAGAGCTTGCATTAGGTCGGGCGTGTCCCCCCCGACAGGCTCATTATGGACGGAACATAACAAATAATCAAGACATGCTCCAAAATTACCAGAAACATAATGAAAAAACATCCGTCCTGTATGAATTATTTGACTCTTTTTGAATGTTCCTCCTGTAGAGGGACGTGCCCGACTTTAGAGGCCTCCTAGATGGGGTCCGAGTAGATGGGGTCGGAGGATCTCGCCGCATCGCCGATGCATCGGGGACGCATCGCAGATGCACCGGCGATGCATCGGCCATGCGCTGGCGGCGTCGGCGATGCATCGGCGCCGTCAGCGTGGAGAAACTTGGGCCCCACATCGAGCCGCATCGCCGATGCATCGGCGAGGCGGCGAGATCCTCCCTGACCCCATCTACTCGGACCCCACCCAGGAGGCCTGGAGACTCGAGACTTGGTCTCGGGTCGGGCGAAAGGGGGGGATACCAAAGGGGGGGTTTGAGAATCAGCTCACGTAGCTGATTTTCCCGGCGCCTCCCGGCGCCGGAGGTGGCTATGTATCGAGGAATGGGCCCCTCGGTGAGGCCGAAACCAGCTGCATGCAGCAAATTTCGTAACCCCCCCTTTCCCAATCCCCCAGTTTCGCCCGGCCCGATGGTCCCCTCAACGCACTGGATGGGCATCCTGGGACTCCGGCCGGCGCCCGCCCACGAGGCGCCCGTGGGCGCCTCGTGGGCGGGCCCGCGCTCGGAGGACCCGCCAAGGCCCCGCCCGAGGGGCCCGCCCGTGGGCGGCGCCGCGCGGGCGCCCCCGCGCCGGGGAGGTCCCGCCGAGGCTTCGCCCCGTGCCCGCCCGTGGGCGCTCCGTGGAGGGCCCCGCGTTGGGGGAGGGGCGAGGAGGAGAGGAGGAGGAGGAGGAGGGAGGAGGAGGAGGAGGAGGAGGAGGAGGGAAGAGGGAGGGAGGAGGAGGAGGAGAGTAGGAGGAGGAGGAGGAGGAGGAGGAGAGGAGGAGAGGAGAAGGAGGAGGAGGAGGAGTAGGAGGAGAGGGAGGAGGAGAGGAGGAGGGAGAGAAGGAGGAGGAGGGGTATGCCGAGGATTCGCCCAGAGCCGGCCCGTGGGCGCCTCGTGGGCATCCCTCTAGCTTGCACCACGCAGATTGCACAGCCTAGCCTGCAGCACAGAGCCTGCACCATGTAGCTTACACCACCAAGTAAACTGCGCCACGTACATTGCACAGCAAAGCGTGCACCACATAGATTGTACCACATAGCTTGCACCCCGATAAACGCACCACACAGCTTGCACCACATGGCTTGTACCACATGGCTCACACGCCCACAGTGCAATCAAGTACTGTTTGGGGTCCACGCTGGAACATCTTGTTGGAGAAGTGACCCCGTCAGTTATCTTCCCCTCTCGCGGGTGGCCAGGCCCCCTGAAATACCACAGCAATGCATCCAGCTCCAGCCGCGGATCGGTCCGTAGCCCCTGGACCTGGCCCCGTTGTCCGTTGCACCGTCGTCCTGTGATATTTGAAGCGACCCACTGAATCATTACAATGGACAAGCGCGTTCTGCTAGCCGCAAAGGAACTATTTGCAAATGGCCTGGATCCGCCGCGAGGGACTTACGATCCATTATATCTAGGACTGCTTGTGTGTATTCGGACGCTTGCGAGTAGGCACTTTGCGAGTAGTGGAACGCGCTCGGTGATTCAATGCGTCGACTTACAAAGCCTGCGACGAGTGGGCTCCCTGGCCGTGTGTAAGTCGCGACGGAGGTGGCCGTTCGGGACGGCTGTCCGGCGCCAGAGGAGGGCACTCCACAGCGCGGGCCCCCGACAGCGGGAATGATGGCCCCGCCTCGGCTCAACGCGGCAAATCATCCATGACGTTTGCCTGGGTGGGGGGAATGGGGCGGGACTGCGATGCCTGGGTAAAAATTTGCGCGCCGGCCCGGCTCTTGTTTCGGCGGTTACGCACTTGTCAAACACTCGCCAAATGCTTGCCACATGTGCTCCTTTTACTGCTCAACCGCAGGCCTTCCGAAACCCGTGAAAAGACGACAGCGGCAGCCCAATCGAACAAGCGATTGGGAACTGAAGGTAACAGATATGGGCGATTTCGGAAACCCTGAACCTCGTGGGCGAGGAGGAGGAGGAGGAGGAGGAGGAGGAGGAGGAGCACGTTTTCGTCTCTTGGGGGCGCATCTTTTACTTCCGCCTATACCTCCGCCGACCTCCCGCCGGCCTCCCGCCGAGGAAGCGACGACCATCCCTTCGATTTCGTCGACGGCAGGGCCCTCTTTGGAACGCCCCACGTGGCAACTGCCTGGCAACTCTGCCAGCTCGTGTTGCGACCGGGAAGTGCACCACCCTGACTCCGGATATCCGCCCCACTTTGGGGGACATTCGTAAGTGGGGCTTGGAATTTCCGCCTCTTACTTTTCAAGCCCCGCTGGTGCCAGTTTCCGCCCCACTTTTCTGTTGCTGTTTCTGTGGATGTCCGCCCTATTTTGTGTTGGGTGCAGCAATTTCCGCCCTACTTTTCCGCCTTTATAGGCGGATTTCGATTGCCAATTTTAAGTGGAAAAAAAAGCCAAAAAGTAGGACGGATCCGGAGTCAGGGTGGCAACTGCCTGGCAACTCTTGCCAGCTCGTGTGCGACGGGAAGTGCAAGACCCTGACTCCGGATATCAGCCCCACTTTGGGGGACATTCGTAAGTGGGGCTGAAATTTCGCTCTTACTTTTCAAGCCGGCGTGGTGCCAATTTCCGCCCTACTTTTCTGTTGCTGTTTCTGTGGATGTCCGCCCTATTTTGTGTTGGGTGCAGCAATTTCCGCCCTACTTTTCCGGCCTCTTATAAGTGGATTTCCGACGCAATTTTAAGTTGGAAAAAAAGCAAAAAGTAGGGCGGATCCAGAGTCAGGGATGGCAACTGCTTGGCAACTCTGCCAGCTCGTGTGCGACCGGGAAGTGCACAACCCTGACTCCGGATCCGCCCTACTTTGGGGAAATTCGTATAGTGGGGCTTGGAATTCCGCCTGTTTTACTTTTCAAGCCCCGCTGCGTCGCACAGTTTCCGCCCCACTTTTCTGTTGCTGTTTCTGTGGATGTCCGCCCTATTTTGTGTTGGGTGCAGCAATTTCCGCCCTACTTTTCCGGCCTCGTATATGTGGATTTCCGATGCAATTTTAAGTTGGAAAAAAAGCCAAAAAGTAGGGCGGATCCAGAGTCAGGGATGGCAACTGCCTGGCAACTCTGCCAGCTCGTGTTGCGACCGGGAAGTGCACCACCCTGACTCCGGATATCCGCCCCACTTTGGGGGAAATTCGTAAGTGGGGCTTGGAATTTCCGCCTCTTACTTTTCAAGCCCCGCTGGTGCCAGTTTCCGCCCCACTTTTCTGTTGCTGTTTCTGTGGATGTCCGCCCTATTTTGTGTTGGGTGCAGCAATTTCCGCCCTACTTTTCCGGCCTCGTATATGTGGATTTCCGATGCAATTTTAAAACTGGAAAAAAACAAAAAGTAGGGCGGATCCGGAGTCAGGGATGGCAACTGCCTGGCAACTCTGCCAGCTCGTGTTGCGACCGGGAAGTGCACCACCCTGACTCCGGATATCCGCCCCACTTTGGGGGAAATTCGTAAGTGGGGCTTGGAATTTCCGCCTCATACTTTTCAAGCCCCGCTGGTGCCAGTTTCCGCCCTACTTTTCTTCGTTTTCTTTCGTGGATGTCCGCCCTACTTTTGTGTTTGGTGCAGCAATTTCCGCCCTCTATTTCCTGCCTCGTATAATATTTGGATTTCCGATGCAATTTTAAGTTGGAACAAAAAAAACAAAAGTAGGCGGATCCGGAGGTCAGGGTGTCAACTGCCTGGCAACTCTGCCAGCTCGTGTTGCGACCGGG